CAGGAATGTAAACACCGTGGAGGCGGAAGAGCAAGAGCCATTTAAACAAAAGGACTGCTGGTATGAGAACAGGTGAAGGTGGATTTACAGAAATGAGGTTTAGCACTAAAGCTGTGCTTCTGGGTAAAACTGTTTACAGGGGAGAAGCGGGAGAAGTGCAATAAAATGATGTATGGCAAATTTGAAAGGGTGATCGTAACCTTGTCTGGGCCCTGATGTCTGTGTCAGCCAGGAAGCGTGGGTGCTTCCCACGTGGGGATCCTGCCCCCTGGTAACAGCCAGGCCGTCCCTGTTGGGTTTAGGCCCTTTGGGCTTGTGGCAGAAGCTGGTTGGGGTCCAGTCGGTGGTGACACCGGGTTCTGCGAGCAGGGCTGGGCAGGACTCAGCCTGGTGTTTTGCAGGGCGGTGGGTGCCCTGCACACATGCGTGTGTGTGTCTGCATGTGCCTGTGCCTGGCAGGAGGCAGGGGCTGTTCCCGTTCCCTGGAGCTGCAGAGAAGGGAGGTTGACTGCATGTGCCAGGTAACACTCTCGGTAGGGGTACTAGTCAGCTGGAACATGCAGTTCCCCTTCCTGAAGCTTTTGGCCTTTGCTTTTGGGCTGCTACTCCCCTTGCTCGACGCAGCTCTGGTGCTGTTGCCTGTTCCTTGCGGACATTGCTGTTGTCGCTCAGGGCAGGGAAAGTTTGTGGCCACAGGAGGGATTAGATGAGAACGGCTGTTTTGGGCAGAAGACATCCCTTCCCTCGGGTGGGAGCAGGAGCGAGGACTTGCACTACAAAGGTAGTGCCCTGCTGTGGCACCCCGACCCTCTTTTCCCTGAAGACCTAAAGGGAGCTGGTGGTAAGTGAGGTGCAAGCTGGTAGCTCTGTACCGGCCAGGAAAGGAATCCTGTCTGAGGAGCTTTGTCCTGCTTTGAGGCTGGTCCCTGGGTTTCTCAGCTCTGTATTGAGTCTTAGTTCTCTTCTCACAGGAACTGAAGGGCTTCAACTCGCTCGATGATCTTCTGCATGTCAAGGGCATCACCACCCGCATCTTGGAGCTGAACAGTCAGCGGATGACTTGCAGGAGGAGGCCGAGCAGTGAGGAAACTGCGAGGGTGAGCCCTGGTCTGCAGGGGGACAGTAAAGCTCCTGTGCCTCAGGTAGGAAAAGAAAGGTAGTGTTCCTCTGCCTGCCCGGCGTGGGGTTGATCCTCCCTCCGGTAGGGCAGGAATTAGGGAGGGGTATCTCGTGCTGGAAGAGGTGGGCACTGGTGGAGGGAGGAGACGTGTCTGCTCTGGGCACTGGAAGGGGGGGGGCCCAGGGAGTGCTGCGCCCTTGTGAACAGCCAAGCGATCTGCCTGCGATCTCCCTGTAAGGTGCAGCTCTCTTCGGGGAGCATCCTGACGGGAGGATGCGGTACTCTGGGCCCAGCCAGCTTTGTGGTGTCCTGGCGGAGGCTGTGGTGGCCCCTGAGCACAGAGCCTTGCCGGGAGCTGCTCTGGTTGCAGTGATGCGTCGGCCCCAAGGTCCCTGATAGAAACAATGCTCTGACCCCAGAGGACACTCTTGGCTTCCTGCTGTCCGCCCTGCCCCAGAGTGGCTAGCCATCCGTAGGTCTCCTGCAGACAGTTGTTAAGTTCCACTAATTGTTCGTCGCTGGAGGCCAGAGCTGGGTGTGGAGAGAGATTCTTCCCCTGGACCGACGGCTGAGGAGGCCAGAGCCCGTGTCTCTTGCCAAGCTCTCTACCCTGCCTTGTCTGCAGAGAGCTGCAGCCAGCGTGCTGCCTGCTTGGGCTGGCGCGCACCCAGCTCGGCTCCAGGGACTTCTTCAGGAGTGTGTCTTCCTGCGGTGCTGTCTGTGGGGCTGAGGAAATTCACTCGCCTCAGAGCAGCTCTGCCCTGCCAAGCTCTCACGCGGGGAGGATGGTGGTTGGAAGGTGTTACAGCCAGGGAGACGTCAGCGACTGTTCTGCCCCAGGAGCATCGTCCCGGGGTCTGTTATCATCCGAGACCTGGATGCGACCCCCAGTTCTAGATGCCAGAGGAAGGGCTTGAGAAACCTGGGCTCAGTGCTCCCTCCTGGAAAGGTGTGCCCAGATGGGCTGCGGCGTGGTGCCGTGCGTCCGGCCGCTGCCTCTCTGCCCGGGAGTCCAACCCTGCTCCGGGCTCGCCTGGCAAACGAGGTCTGGTCTAACTGGGCGGCATGAAGAGATGACCGATCTGCCTCTGACCTGGGGAAGCTGTCCGGGGCTGGGCGCTTAAGCACATGTGGACTGAGGCCTAATCTCTAAATGTAAATAAGCCCAGCCCTAACCGCAATAAACGTTGCTGTGCTTGGTAGGAGCCCTGTAGAGCAGCCGGGTTTTTCCTTCCCCAGGTGTATTTTTGTGTTGTGACCAAAGCACCTCTGTGTTTCTTTTCTTCTCCTACAAAATATTTTCTCTAGATTTTGAATCACTGGGGGGAGGAGATTGAGCTGTATCTTCAAGTTTTAAGCATTCTGTTTAAAAACATGGATTGGGCATGCAGGACTCAAGTGTCTAGGGCAGCACAGAGGGTAGTACTGCTTTCCCGCTTGCGCTTCTTCCCTGTTCAGATTTTTGAGCCTGAAGCTTGTGCTCATTGAGATCCCTCAATCCTTTTCAGCGGTCGCTTTACAGGATGCGCAGTCCCTGGTGCCTGGCTGGCCCTGCTCTCCCTGTCTTTACATGGAGAACATTGCCTATGGGTGTATGGAAATGCATTTAATTTGGGTGAGCACAGCTTACCAAGTGATGCAGATCACACCGTGTGACTGTCGTGTCCTTGCTACCTACCCAAGCACCAGTCTTAAAATGTAATCAGAAAAGACTTTATCTACTTCCATATTATGAATAAAACAAATATTGACTACTGTGGTTTTCCCCATGCGCACACACATGCATCCCTTATGGGTCTGCACTAGGACTGTCAGCAGAAAATCTGCAGTTTCCCATTAACAGGTACGTTTTGAGGTCTGTCGACTGGCTCTTTCTTGATCTAAGCCGTCTCATCCAACAACCTTTTGGAGGCTATGGCACGCCGGTGTTTTCATGAGAAGCCTGTGCCCCAGCCAGATGCTTAGTATGTCTCATCGATGTGATTTATGTAATTGCTTTTTTTAACCAAAATGTAACACTAAGAGGAATAAACTCAATTTTACTTGAAAGGACCTATTTTCATGAAGTCTCATCAGCTGGTACAAAGCATGTCCCTGTCATTTATCTTTTGCTCCTTGAATCCTGCACCGGCCTCTCTATTGCCAGATGTCAGGCTATGTAAAGACTTATTTTTCTCCTGCCTTCCTCAGTTTTAGCACAACTTTCACGCTCTTCTGGTCTTTGCCACTTCTCCTGTATTCCAAGATTTACCACAAATAGTTACTGTGGGCCAGTGATCTCCTGTACTACTCCCTAGGGCCCTGAGGTGCCGATTATCCTGGGCTGCTGATCGAGGTGTTTTATTGGTGTATTGGAAAACTGTTCCTCATTCCCATGTGATACCGGGGCATTGTTATGCTTCCTCCAAGTAATTACTGAGTACTGGGTTGGGTTTGGTTTGTGGTTTTTTTTTTGTGGTGGTATTCACAGTGCTGCTTTCTTGGGGGAGGAAGGGCGCAGGTGGCGTTAGATGCGCACACGCTACTCACGTGATCGTTGCTCCTGGTCAGATTAGCTGGAGGGCGAAGGTGCCTCCGCATGGTGCTGAGGGCAGAAACACAGCGCGCGTCCGTTCTGCGCCCGGCTTTGGCAGAGGGCTGTTCCCAGCTGCCGGGAGATGGCTCGCTGCACAGAGGTGGAGAGGGTGCTTGTGGGTTTGGTATTGTTCGGCGCCACTGATGCTCGTGCAGTGTTTGTGTTTTCTGCTCAGCCGCAGAGTTGCCGGCTGCCACGTAGTGCGGTCACGTTGCAGATGTGCTTCCCCGTGGGGCTGGGAAGTGACCTGTCTCCAGACCGTGCTTGGCCGCAGCTGCCCCGTGACCTCAGAGACCACCTTGGCTCAGTAGTCTACTCCTCTCTTCCCATCTTTGGCTCTGCTTAGCTCGTCACCCCCTCCTCTGTACCGCAGGGGGAAGCCCTTGCGTTCCTTGGGCCGTGTCTCTGACTGGTAGCCCCCTCAGCACCCCAGCGAGCCCCCCCTGCCCGGGCCCAGGGCACCCTGACTGCTGGTGCGCAGAGCGACAGCAGACAGACCTGACCCTGCCTCTCCCTGTGTTGTAGGTGGTGGCTGAGGAGGAGGATGTTTCAGGCCCCTGGGAGCCGGAGCGCTCTGGGAAAGGGAGCCCTGCGGCAGGACCAGAGACTGATGGCTCCAGCGGGCGAGGAGCGCAGGAGACAGTCAACTCCACTGTCTGTGGGGAGCAGGAGGAGGAGGAGGAGGAAGAAGAGGAAGAGGAGAGCTGCTACAGCGAGGAAGGGGAGGATGGCAGCAACGTCTACTTCTATTACACCATCGGAGAGCGCTGGATAGACTACCTGCAGCGGACAGAGGACGGCGGCCTCCTCCGTCACGTGCGGCCCAAGGTAACCCCATGGGGAGTGTGCCCCCAGACAAGGGCTTTGCCCCAGTGGGGCTGCCTGTGCAGTTGGTGGCTCCCTGGCAGGAGCCGACACTGGCACACTTTCTGCTTTCCCCTCCTGGCAGG